GTCACTCCTGAGGTTCACCCTTCAGCTAAAGATTAGACAGTCCCATAAAACAAAACAAGATTAAAGGGGCACACCAACCCAGCGGCAAGGACAAAAAGGCAGGAGGGGTCAGGAAAGCTGGTACTGGGGAACCCAACGTTGAGAAGGGGAAGAGTGTTGACATGCTGTGGAGTTGGCAACCAATGTCACAAAACAATATGTATACTGTTTAACGAGAAACTAGTTTGCTCTGTAAACCTTCATCTAAAGTACAATAAAAAAAAATTTAAAAAAAAAAACTGGAAATGGCTCATCCAAGTGAACAAGACAAAGAGAGAGAAATCGTATTTATGGAAGCCCAAATAATGAACAGGCTGGAAGAATATAATAAAAAAATATTAAACAAGCTCAAAGAACTAAAGGAAAACACAGACAAAGAGCTAAGGGAAATCAGGAAAATAATGCATGAATAAAATGATAAATTTAAATAAAGAGGTAGACATTACAAAAAGAAACCAAACAGGGGCAGGTGGAATGGAGGAGGAAAGAAAGTTTCATTGCTTAGGGACACACTAAGCTTCTGTTAAGGGTGATGGATAAACCTGGAAACAGATACATGATGGCTGAACTACATGATGCACATAATTAATGTCACTTAACTGTACATGTAAAAAATGTTGAAATGTTTTGTTACATATATATTTACAATAAAAATGCATTAAACTGCATGTATTGACATGGAAGGGTATACTGTTACATTGTCCTGATATATTGTTGAGTGAACAAGTTAAATTACAGAAGGAATATGCCTTGTATAATATCAGTACAAACATATATAACATGTATCTATATATATATAGATACCTATTTGTTTGTATGTGCACAGAAAAAAAAATTTAAATATATGTGATGGTTAAGATTGCATGTCAACTTGGTTGGGCCATGATTCTCAGTGGTTGGGCAGTCACATGATGTTGTGATCACCCCCATAATGGGATCTGCTGTGAGCAGCCAATCAGTTGAAAGGGAGTTTTCTTGGGTGTGTGACCTGCATTGAATATAAGTGGACATTCTGGCAAGGCTCATGGCTTTTTGCTCATTCTGGATCCTGCAGCTGGTTCCTGTTCATCTGACCTCTGGTTCTTGGGAGTTGAACTAGCAGCTTATCTGTGGTCTTGCCTGCCAATCTTGGGATTCATCGATCTTCACAGCCTGTAAGCAAGAGACCTCTCCCCAACCTCCCTATCTTGGGTTCACCAGCCCCTATGGCTATGTGAATCAGGAGAAGCCTCTATCCTGACCCATGGACTTGGAACGTTCCAGCCTCTACAACCACATAAGCCATTTCTTTGATATAAATCTCTCTATATAAATATTTATATGCTTTACTGGTTTTACTTCTCTAGGGAACCGAGCCTAAGACAATATATAAAACAATATTACAGTGGTTATTTCAGTAAGTTGGGATGGTAGGTAGGGAAAGACTTTCATTTTATATTTCATATATCTATGAATTGCTTGATTTGTTTTTTACAATGAACATATATTACTTTTAGAATTAAAAGTTTAACTTAAAAGACCAGACTCTTACTCACCTGACAAAGACTGCAGGAACCCCCAAGACTATGGCCCTAAAACACTCTCTGACCTAGAACTGAAGTCATTCCCGGAGACCACCTTTCAGCCAAACAATAGATAGGCCCATAAAATAAACAATAACACCCGATTGGAACATGTTCCTTAGAACAATCAATTATACGAGATCAACATTTGCCCAAAAGACAACACTGACCAAAAGCAAAGATGATAAGGCAGGAAGGGGTAGAAAAACCGGACAAAAGGCAACGAGGAAACTAGGGTGGAAATGGGGAGAGTGCTGACACATTGTGGGGAAAGAACCAATGTTATGGAACACTTTATGTACAAACTACCAAATGGGAAACTAATTTGCTCCGTAAACTTTCACCTAAAGCACAATAAAAAATTAAAAATGTATTTAATTTTTCTTAAATTTAACTTAAATGGTAGTTTTTTGTAATTAGTAATAAAATATATTGAGTTACTTAATAAATATAGACACTCAATAAATATTTATTGAGTGCCTACTACATGTACCAAGCACTACTGCAGATGCTGATGAACAAAACTGACACGGTCATTGCCTTCATAAAGCAGAATCTGGATTCATGTGTATGTGTATGTGAGACAGAAAGAGAGACAGAACAAATAAAAATTTAGATATAGGGTCACCTTTGAGGAGATGACATCTGAGCTGAGATGTGAAATTTAAGAAGGAGCTAAAACCCGCTCCCGTCGAGTTGATTCCGGCTCATAGCAACCCTACAGGACAGAGCAGAACTGCCCTACAGAGATCCCAAGGAGCGCCTGTTGGATTTGAACTGCTGACCTTTTGGTTAGCAGCCATAGCTCTTAACCACTATGCCACCAGGGTTTCCAAGGAGCTAGCAATGTGGAAATCCAGGATAATAGAGTTGCAGATTCAAGGAAAAGAAAGAAGGCCAGTGGTTGGAGATTTGTAACTAGAGAGAAGAATAACATGAAATGAGATCAGAAAGGAAGGCAGAGGCTAGATCATATATATGAATGGGCTTATAATATACCTTAATAGTCAGTTTTCCTAAGTAGTTTTAAATAAACACCTTTCTTTCAATTTAACATTCTATATTTTATACACTATGGTAGTCATTT